ATATATATATATATTATATATATATATATATAATACTAATAATATACTTTAAAATTTTTAAACCTTTGCAAATAAAATGAAAATATATTATACAATATTCTAAAGGCCAACAATTAAATATAGCTCAAGAGGAAGTCCTTCATGTTTTGATCAATTAAATCAAATTATTTCTTTTAGTTTTGATTTTAAAAATATTTAAGTTTGCAAGCGTTTTGATGTCATTTTTAATTATTATACTCCATAGCTATAGGGGGCCTCTAGCTGTGATAGAAAACTTAGTGGCTTCAAAGTGAGTTTTAGCTTGAATATAATTATTATTTGCATGTCTAGTAAGATGTATTGTGCTGTATTTTTTTAAATAGCGTTTTAAAAATATTGTGGATCGTATCGTTATGGATTTCATACATAAAAATTAAGTGATGATATATATTTATTTGATAGATATTTAAAATTTTTAGATTAATAAATAGTGGTTGGGAATGAGAGAGACGGTCTGCGTTGGATATTATTTTTATAGCATGTTTTTGTTTGCTGAATAGTTTGTTTAGTTTTTTTTTATTGGTGCTGCACTAAACAATGTTAGCATAATTGAGATAACAATGAATTTTTTTTTATTTAAACAGGGGATCTTTTAGCTGAGATGGAGTTGGTCCACTCCATAGACTTAGTGAGACTATAGTTCAAGAAAATTACAAAGATATATGTAAAACTATGATGTTGCCTTAAGTAAAGGATAAAATGTCAGAGGATGGATATACGAACAAAATAAGGATCCCAAACATGCAGCCATAAAAAGCCATTTAAAGTGGCCATCTAAATCACGTGACTTAAATCCAATTAAAAATCTATGGGAATATATTGACTGTCAAATAAAAGAAATTAAGTCTACAAAACATGCTGATTTATTTAATAAAATCAAAGAAACATGAGACTCGATTCCTGTTGACGTTTGCATTTATTTAGTTGACTCTACGCCTCATTGATGCCAAGTCAATCTTTATTGTAAAGGATGTCCTACAAAGCATTAATGTGATTTTGCTTTTATGTATATTTGTGATCAAAAAATTTGTACTATTTAAAAATAACGCATCGCCGCAAATTTTTGAACTTATCAAAAATCGTTGATTTGTATACTAATTTTAAAATATTAATTAGATAATCATTATTAGTTCAAAACATAATTGTAAACTTTAAAATCTTTTGATTGGTATATAATATGTTGGCTTTAGTTAAGTATGTGCTGATAAATAAGTAAAATTCCTTTTTTTTTACCTGTCCGCAAACTTTTTGACGCTACTGCACATATATATATATATATATATATATATATATATATATATATATATATATATATATATATATATATATATATATATATATATATATATATATATATATATATATATATATATATATATATATATATATATATATATATAATTTTCGTATGTATTTAGGTGCTCCCAGAAGTCCTTACGGTCTTATCATAGAGCACCGCGGTAGAGTATTTAACAGGAAGTTCACGCCTCCTTCCGTACCAATGTCGCTTGTTGGGCTAGAGCTGGCGTCAAACCTCGAACCTCTGGGTTCAACCAGAACTCTAACCACTGCGCCACGGCTGCTCTATATATATATATGTATATATATATATATATATATATATATATATATATATATATATATATATATATATATATATATATATATATATATATATATATATATATATATATATATATATATACATATATATATATAGAACAGCCGTGGCGCAAACTCCCCCCTGACCATATTTGACCCTATTTTAAAGATTTATAGTCTTCTTTCGTTGACTACCATTTATACATCATAAAGGAAATTCAGCAATTTGAAACAATTATTTTTGGGCGAACTTCAAGTTATTGATCACTGGCATTTAAAACACAAAACGTAAAAATAATAATTAAAAAAATGTCTTTTTTTAGTATTAGAAGAGGAAAAAAAAAAAAAATAGACACAATGTCTTCTTATATGGATAAGAAGACATTCTTTTCCTAACACCCAAAAAATGACTTTGTACAAATTCAAGATCCATTTTGCCAAACACAGTAGATAATTCTAAATTACAATTCATTCAACTAGACTCACAAAACAACATTCAATCTAGATTCCAACTTATTCAACAGTTTTTTTGCTGTCCAATCGCCTTCATTAGCTTTATTTTTTATGTTTCCTTAAAAGTCTTTTAGTGGCTGTGCTTTAGCAACATTTGCAGGATTGATCGATCTTGGTATAAAATTGATTTTTTCCTCATTTAGGTAATTTACCAAGCCTTCTGTATAACGAGCAGATGCCAAGTCTGGTCAAAATACATACTCTCCTGTACGATAAAATTAATTTAGAAAAGGTTTTCATGTAGACTTGTTGGTTCGCTGCTATTCCTGAAGGATAAAAAAGCGACTTTGATACGCCTTTTGGTAAAATACAAAGCCAAATCTATAATTTTTTTTCATTTTTGGCTTTAAAATTAATCTTTACATGCGGGGGAGTCAGATTAATATCACTTGAATAAAAACCAGAGTTGCCAAGCTGCGAGAAATAAAGTAAAGAACAATTCATCGTTATATAAAGAATAATTCAACATTTTTTGACATTTTGGCCTCGCTTGTTTTTTCTGTTTTTCAGTTAGAAGTGGCCTTTTACTTTTTTTTACGATATTTGGCTAATGTGTAGACATCACATCTATGAAAGACATGTGGCTCATGTAATGAAGGAAATATTTGGTCCAACCAATGGTCCCAGCAGGAAGCTATATGTTACTCTCCAAAAAATATGGCCGCAGATTTATAGAGATGTAAACAAATTAGAGAGAATTGTGAAATTTGACTGGACTCAAGATGCCTTTAGACCTAACTCTTTGTTGTACAAACTTGCTCCGGATACAAAAGAATTCTGTATCACAGCTCTTCGTGAGAGTATTTTCTAGAGAGGAGGTTAAAGGTATCTTTGTGAGCTTCTGGCATTTTTTCTAGGAGCTGAGTTACAAAACTTCTCATTTAAACGACCGGGAGCTCATCATGAAGCAAGATTTATGGCAGACCGTATCTACTTGCTGGCGATTCAAATGACTCAAATGTACTACCCAGTTGATTCTGAATCTGGTAATATAAGCACGTTAAGTAATCTGAAGGCTGCAACCAACTACATTGTATTTTTTCACGGCTTCTTTTTTTCTGAAATGCTCAATGGCTTCTCAAACACCATCGAATGATTTGATGGCATTCAATATTGCTTTTCAGCTGCAAACAATGGATGAGTTTAAAGAATTTGAAGTTGTGGGAAAGGTTGTTTACCAAAGCCTTAGCCGTCACACTTGGTATCTGTCTTCCCAACAAGTAGTTTTTGCTCTTGCTGATTAGGAACTGAAAGTTGAAGTTAAGAACTGCTTTCCTATGATGTCCCGGTGTTGCAAGATCTGATTAAAAAGAAACCTGAAACTATTATTGAAATTGTTTCTACGTCTAAACTAGATGATTTTATCAATGAACAGTCCTATCTTTTGTTTTTGCTGTTGGATATTTCCAAAAAAGAACTTCTCCTCTGGAAAGAAAAAAAGAACTTCTCCTCTGGAAAGAAAAAAAGAACTTCTCCTCTGGAAAGAAAAAGGCATCGAAGCATGTGAAAGTGAGAAAACCTCTCAGTCTTTTATATACTTCATAAAGTGCGTAAGAACACTTGCAGTTGTAAATGACCGTGCAGAACGTCACATCAAGTTGATTCAAGATTTTGTTGAGAGAACACACAATGAAGATAGGCTTCAGGATACTCTCCAGGTATTTTGTTATATACACGCAATATAATTGGCACTTATTAGCAAGTATAATATGAATAGTTAATATATAATATTTACTTAATATATTTATATTTTTAGGTTGTCCAGAGAAACCGGCAGCAGATATCGAAAAAGGCTACAAAAAAAGATCTTAATACTATTATTTAGTTGAGTAATATTTGGTAGTTAAAAATATAGGTTTATATTTGTATTATTAATTTTTATTTCTTTTGAAAATAAATGATAAACCTAATCTCCGGATTATTTTTTTTACTTTTCACACTAAAATATTGCTTCAAGGTCAAAACATTGACGTTTTTACAATAATTCGCAAAAATGATGCTAAATGTATCGTTTTATCCCATTTAAAAGTGAACTCATCTCTAAACTCAATTAGTTATTTTACAATGAAATTAAAAAATTTCATAGCACGCAAATTCACCTGTTTGACACGCACCAACAATTTTCTTTTGTTTTAAGTAACAATTGCTATTTTTATATTAAGATAACATTCAATTTTATCTCAAAATTTATATATTAAAAAAAAAGGAAACCTTCCGCTAGACCTAGAGACTTAATTTTTTTTTTTGTCTTCATTTTCAAAATGACGCAGAATGCAGTATTCCGCACATCAAAATTCAATATATGATACTTTTTTGAGACACCCTATCTGTTAGTTTCAATAGATTTAATCCAATAGTTAACAGTTGCTTTTGTGTACTCAAGATCTATAAAATGGTTGGCAATTTCCTTTTTTTGCTCATCTGAATTATTTTTTCAAAACTTGTACAAACTGTTTTTTTTCATATTTTGCCGTTGTTTAAAAATTATTAAATAAAAATAAAAATTTTATTTATTATTTTTTAAAATACAATTTAAGCACGACATCAAAATGAGACTATTACGAGCCTTGTACATTTTTTGTAGACTTAACATTAACTCCAGTCCAAAAACTTATTCATAAACCATTACAAGCGTATGTGCATTATATACGTACATATTATATACGTACGTATTATATACGTACTATAAAACTGTACGTGCATTATATGCGTACTATAAAACTGTATGTGCATTACGTACTATAAAACTGTATGTGCATTATATACGTACTATAAAACTATATGTGCATTATATACGTATTATAAAACTGAATCATGCAGCGCAATAAAAAAAAAAATAAAAAAAATGCTGTTAAATTTTTCATTCAATTACAAAATCAACATCAGTTACATTTTGATCTGAAGCGACTTCATTAGCATTTGGCATAATCGTAGTATGAGGTGTATTAACAGTATGAGGTGTAATCATTGTAAATACTTGCTCCATAGCTCCAAGCAATTTCATCATTTCTTCATATGTCCGTAGGTCGGCTTTAATGCGTGCGCTTAACTTTTTTAACATAAGATCAAACTTTTTGTTTGTACCAGCGATTGACGAGTACATTGCTAAAATTTAAAATAAAATTTGTTTGATGTAAAAAAAAAAAAAAAAAAAAGTAGAGCTGAGGGGACTGGAGCCAAATAAGGCTACTTAGGATTTGAAACGTCTACAGAAAATATTAGTAGAAGCTCCTTTGTGGGAAGTTACAAAGCACCAATTCTGTTTAAACCTAGAGTTGCTGTCCTTATGCACCACCACACTAGCTAACAACAGTCAATTTATTTTTCACTCCACCAAATATAGCCTTAGCTCCCAATAGCGTAAAAACCATATCTTATACTTTTCAAATTCTTGATAAGTTTAACATGTTATGGAAAAACTGTTAGGTTTATTTGGCAAGTTTATTGTTGCTGCTGAGTCTTAGCAACAAATAATTTTGATGAGTTTTGAGTAGCAAAGATATTTTAGAGTCTAATTCTAACAGGGATAAACTCGAATAGTTCATAAATAAATATAAACATAAAGATAAACTCGAATAGTTCAATTCATCCCTGTTATATATGTGAGTGTGATAGAAGAGAAACATAAATAAATATTCCATACGGACCTTCGAGAGCTGTCAAGAAAATTATACAAAACTCAAAGAATCTAATATAATAATTTATAAGACACTTATTGATGCGTTTTTTTACGCGAAGCTTAGTAAACAAATGAACACAATCAACATCATAATTAAAAAAATATTGCTGACATCAAGATGAATATCTGGTAGGAAGTGTTTATTGCTTTTTAATAATAATTTTTTGTAATATTTTCTAACTCAACTATTCTGATGTAACTGGCTGAGTTTTTGCGTATGACAACAAAATATTAAAAAACATTTATTTTGCTTTATAAACTTTTTTATTAACCTAGTGTTTTTTTAATAGTTTTTGTAAATTTTTCTTCGATTCAATTAAATATACAATGACATTTTGAAAGTAAATTTAGTAAGTTTTAGGTTAAGCTGTGTTTCACCCATTAAACAAACTACTATATGTTTAACTTAGCTTGTTATTTATATTATGAAGTATACAAGGAGTACATTATTAAAAGTTCGAATAAATTGATTTTGAAAACCTACTTATCCTACTTACGCGCAATCAAAATTTCTCCATCTATCTACCAAGAATCTTTCATTTCTATATCTAATACTTAAATAGATTCATATCTAATATTTAAAAATTAAAAAAAAACTACTATATCAATTATCATCCATTTTAAAAATTGGAATTGGAAAACAAATTTGCAAAAAAAAAAAAAAAAAAACGGAATTTATTTTCCTGATGTCCTTATTTAGCTTTGAGGTGGTAGACCACTAATTAAATCAAATCCTTCAAAAATTACATTTTAGATATTATTTACATCTAAATTGACTAAAATTTACTCTTAAATGATAAAATTTAAAAAAAAAAGTCAAAAATTTTTTTGATTTCAGAAATTTGGCCCCAGAAACCCCAAAATATCATCATTTTTAATAAGAAAAACACTTGACGATCAAAAAATTAGGCATTTTTGACCATATGTGGGCTTTAATATTTTTGAATTGGATTATCATATTGACATAAATGTGGTAGGGGACATCCATAACAACAAAAGGAACAACTTCTGAAAATTTCATGGAAATTGATTAAGAAAATCTTGAGATGTTCACCGCAAAGTTGTGAGTTTTAGAGATTTGAGAAAAACACATTTAAACAAAAAAAAAAAACATAAAATTTTTCAAACAAATATTAAAAAGCCACGTAAAAAGCCCATTTACAAATATCAACTTACATTAAAAGTGTTGTGGAGTAAAAGTAGAAAAAATTATTAAAAAATTGTTTTAAAAGACAGGTTTTATTAACAGACATTAATACTTTCAAAGTTAGATTTCATTAAAAAAGTCTCACTTTTGATTTGTTTCATTAAAACTCCTATCAGTTTTATGCCAATAGTTATTATAGTAAATAAATATCAAGTATATATATAAACTAAATATATAAAAAAAATATATATATATAAATATAAACTAAAACTTTTATGCACCATAAGAAATATCCTCATTAACTACTGTGTTCTTATTATAGTTTTATTTTCAGAATATAAACTTATTTTTAGAGCTTCTTCGCTGCGGCATTCATGCTAGCTTCAGCTATGTAACTGTTATAATTTCTTTGTTTAACTAGTTAAAAAATTTCTTTAAGGGATCAAACATGTTCATAAAACCACAAAACTTTTCTATACTACAGTATTCTTTTTTCCATTTCACAAAAAACTAACATTGTACATAAGTAAACATTAAAAATTTATTACTGCTGGTTTGTTTATAATTTTGGTAGAATAAAACTTCTGAATAAAATTAGGAGACAGTTTCATAAGCCTTATTGTTTTGAGCTCCATAAAAATTTATAATTTAAAAGTTACATTTCAGGAAGTTTTTGATAGCAAACAATGGCAGCCATTATTCCATCTCATATGTTGGTGTTCATTAATATGTAGCATTCATTTGTAACATTGAACTGTACGTAATTAGCAGAACTATTATTTTTATTTAAAAAACTATTATTTGAAAGTTTTACAGATTATTTACTGCTGGATCTGGATGTACACATGTCCATTTAAATTTTTTTTTGCTATGCTACATTCAAATTTTAGTTCATGCAAATTAGATACAATTTCTTCAGCTGCATTGTTTGTTGATTGATTTTGGTTTTCTTTAAAAAGTTTAAATAAGTATTTTACTATGCCTCGTTTTATTTCTTTTTTCTTTTTTTTTTCCATTACTTTCCATTGCTAATATTATTTAATCGAAGTGATAGGATAAATGTAGAGTGATACAGAAAACAACAACTATAGTTGGAAATTTCAATAAAACTCATGTAGCCAAATGCACCAAAAGTATTAATCAATAAACAAAAAGTAGTTTTAGAGTTGCAATCACCACATCTGGTATTTTATATTAAAAATTTATACTATAATTATTATACAATTTCCTTTTTAGTTGTATAGCAACGGATTAAACAAAGTGTTGCTATGGAAAATACTTGTACCGCTTTATTAAAAAATAGTTTTTAATGGTGTTAGCTATTTTTTTTCATAAAACTAACTTAAAATTCGTAATTTACGATAGCTATATTATTTAAAAAAACTATAATTGAAAAAATGATTTTTTTGATTTTTAATAGTGGTCTACCACCTGATGCTGATGGCTTTTTCAACTTTTTATTTAAAGAAACTGTTCTTAATTTTTGTGTGATTAATGACTGAAAAAGTTAAAAAAGCAAATATATTACAAAAATATATATTTAAATTTTTTATTCACAGAAACTTTTGGAAATCCGAAAAAACTTAAAATTAAATGAAGTATCTTTTACGGAGCTCCTAAAAAAATCCTTTTTTCCGGAATTCCGAATCAATCCGGAAAATAATAATCCTTGCAATATAAAATATGAAATGGAATCAACTCAAAAGCTTTATTTTTTTGACTTCAGCTTTTTAAAAATTCACTCTCATTTATCATACAGTTGACTCTCGATATCTTGACTACTCGATATCTCAAACTTGATTTCATGTCCCTTGCGCACTCATTTGAGCAAAAATCCTCTTGATATCTCGAACTCTCAAACATTTGCCCCGGTCCCCTGAGATTTTGAGATATCAAAAGTAGACAATATTACTATATTATAAATATTTATATATAAAGTTTTAATCCTCAATTCTAAAAAAAGTATTTTTTTTGAACGTAATTATAGTTACTCATAAAACTTTATGCGACATACTATTATACCATGGCAACTATTTACAATATTTTAATTTAGACTAAAATACTATTAAATTTTAATAAAATATGCATCAAATATTTTACAAAACCAAACTTTTACTGTTACAGGAAGCAAACATTAAGAGATATCAAGGCGGAGAATAAAGTCAGATAATTTTGTATCGCCGTCATTTAAAACTACTTCTGAACGTCATACATACTATGGAAGAAAATACAGAAAAATAATTTTTTGAGTTCTCCCAGTTTTTATCTCTGCTTCTGTTAATTGAAACTATTATTCTAGTAATTTATAAAGATATTTAAATTTGTAAGCTGTTCTATTTATAAAAATATTTCATTCTGTACTTATTTAATTGAATTGAATAAAATTTTTGAATGTATGTTATCAGATGGGCTCAGTACTTTGCGGCCGGATATACTTAGCAATAACTCGAGAAATACTTAACGAATTAATTTCAAATTTTTTCATGAGATTTATTGTATCAGTTAAAGTATTTAATCCATTTGCACAGATTTCAGAGGACGCTTAGAAACTTATCGAATTTTATGTGAGAGTAGATGCCACCATGGCCTGAATCTTACTTTCAGTGACCTTTTTTGATGCTGCAATCCATCTTTGCTCATCTTTTGTTGATCTATTGCTTTACAACAGGATTCCTTCTGTAATTGCACAGTAACTCTCCATAACACTCAGCTTTGGGTTTTCGATGCCATTTTAGTTGTATTACTCCATTGCCTTCTTGGAGTAGTGAATTATTGCTAAGTCCGGTAAAAAATAACTGCCTTGCTGTGTTTGTTAATAAATGGCAAAAGATCTTTCTGAAGACAATAAATGATGTACAAATCAAGTCAAAGCCTTTCGAGTGACAAATAGAGTACTTTTAAGACCACAGAAACTGGATATACTTCAATTTGCTGCTGACAGACACATTTTGAATCATAATAATATCGATGGCCGGGCAAATGTGATAAATACTTTTTGCAGTACGTTTCGTCGTCCTCATTAATGTATAAATTTTCCAGGTAAACAGTTTGATAAGCTTCCTAGCATGACAAATTCCTTTTAATTCTCCGTCAATTGATCGCTTTGGATTTTTTTTCTTTGTGTATGCCTTAAAACCCTTGCTCTTGAGTGCTTCTCTTACAAGGAAACGACTGCACTCACTTTGTTTTGTTGAAAAAACCTTTTACTTTTCCGTCGTTAAGCGACTTCTGACAATTTTTAAAACTTTTTTTCCAATTATCTAATATATATATATATATATATATATATATATATATATATATATATATATATATATATATATATATATATATATATATATTTTTTTTTTAAAACATCAAAAATACGATTTCTCTCAACACTTATAATTTTTTTATTATTATAGAAATTTTCGCTGGATTTTAGATACCAGCTTCTTCAGCATCTAAAATCCAGCGAAAATTTCTATAATAATAAAAAAATTATAAGTGTTGAGAGAAATCGTATTTTTGATGTTTTAAAATAATATATAAATATACTCTCACACAAGATGTTATCCTTTAAATCATATATATATATATATATATATATATATATATATATATATATATATATATATATATATATATATATATATATATATATATATATATATATATATATATATATATATATATATATATATATAAAGAACGTCAATATAAAAAAATTTGAAATTTATTTTGCTAAGTATTTCTCGAGTTATTTAAGTATATCCGACCAGAGAGTACTGAGTCCAACCAATAAGTTGGTAAGTTTATCTTGAGGAAAAATTATGATATTAGTGATATTTTATTAAATATTAAATGATTTTTACCATAACTTATAAAAATGACTGTCAATATATATTTTTTTACATTAAAAATGAAATTTATTAAAACTAAAATTTTTTTTACAAGAAATTAAAATTATTGAATCATATAAATAAATTAGTCGGGATAAAGGGAACACATTTTAGTTGGGATGAAGGGAGCACACTTTGGAGAAAGAATTCTCTAAAGTAATACCTATAATTTGATAAGTTTTAATGAGTTATGTTAAATTTTGTTGCATAAATTTGCTATAACTTTTATTATTCTAACTTTTTGTATACTTGTTGTTTTATCTTTGCATTGCTCGTGTTTTATTTTTAATATTTTTAGTATTTGTAAGAAAAATAAAAAACAATCAATATTAATTGCATTTTGATAAAAAAAAGAGATTTCAATGTTTTTTATCTTTCTCACTTTCATAAAAAGTTTTTGTTTTTATAAAATATAGAAAATTAACTAACATCAACAAACACAATTAAAACATTTATTTGATAAAGAAAATCAGAATGATTTTATGACGCAATAGAGTGATGAGAAATAGCCGTGTTGCTAAGACAATGTCAAAAAAGACAAATAATTTCCTACAATGAATGACAACCATAATGGAGTTTCGCAAGTGCAGGCTGCTTAAAAATTGCTTTTTCCCTAGCAGCCGTGTTTTAAAGTTTGTTTTAGAATCGAGGTCTGAGGTTAGATACCTAATAATACTAGCAACTAGTTAGCATCTACTCATTTAGCAACTAGCAACTACTAGGATCTTCAACCAAAAAAGGCGGTGGTTAGCTATCAAAAATTCGCATTATATTATTATGCTACTTATTTATATTTATACCATATAAAGACTGTGCTATTATTATTATTATTACATATAATTATCATATATTCTTATTTTAGCCGGAGATGGCTTTGTAAATCAACTTTGCACAACGTGTCAATCCACGCTAGATTTCTATTCATACCGCGCAATATTTTTATTTATTATTTTTCGCTTGAGAATATACCTTTTTTAATACTTATTTTGATAGTTTTATATAAAACAACCATCTTTATAGCTATAAAGCTACAATATGTAACTATAGCCGCCTATCGCTATAGCGATAGTTTTAATAACATAATCGCTATAAAATTGTCGTTTGTAGTAGTTAGCAACAAAGCTACAATATTAAAGTTGTACTCAGTATTTCCAGTCTCTAAGGAAACCATGCAGAAGCAAAGTAATATACACTATTATGTAAGCATAAATTGAGCCTTAGTTAATTGAGCATAAATTGAGCCAGTAATAAAAAAGCCTCTTTTTCAGGGCCCGAGCAGCTTTATTTATTCACAAATTAGTTAAAAAAAAGTTAGCATACTTACTTAAAACAAGATCTGCAATTGGTACCAATATTTTTGCGTAAAATGGACAAGATATATTTCTAAAATTAAAACACAAGCATGTGTACATTTTGATAATTAAAACAATCAATTAAAATGAATAATAAACATTACCTAACTAAAAATTTCATTATGCTGAGCAATGAGTTGGCGTCTCTATTTTTAAGGGCTACTTTTAATGCATTTCTCCTTGATAATTCAGTAAGCACGCTGATGACATATTCTGTATTATCACAGCCAGTGACTAACACACAATCGAGTGCTTCATGATAACGAAATTTTTGTAAATGACGATCAGCTTTTGAAAGTTTTTTAGTAAAAGTGTCACGAATAATGACATCATGCTACACAGCAATAACAACGTAAATTATAACTGAAAAATTTATCAAAAACAAACAATTTCGTTATTTGGTATTATAGTTACCTTATTTGGCTTTGCCGATCGATTTCTGATTCGGTGCAAATAAGTTCCCGGCAGAACTTTATACGACCGCTTCCTGTTAACTTTTTCATTTATTAAAGTTTTCTTTTTGTGACGTAGAGAAATTGCACCATCTGACATACCCACTACTATATGCTGACTATCAGCCTTAAATAATATTAAATAAAGAATTATTTATATCTTTAATTTAATAAGGGGTCGTCCATAAAGTATGTACGCTTTTATTTCCACCTATTCCTGCTCTTTCTACCGCATTTTTTTATATGCTTTTTGAGTACCCTCTACCTCCCTAAAAGTACCTACGCTATCAACCTAGCTACCCAACATTTTATGATATTTTTTAAGTTTATTGTTTCCTTACTTTTTTAATTGACCCCCTGCGCCCCCCCCCCATCTCATAAATACTCCCTCTCCCCCATCCGAGCGTACGTACTTTATGGACAATCCCTAAATAACTAAAAAAAAAAAAATTTGTTTACCGAAATGTCCATGGCTAGTATTGGAGATGGGTAATCAATATTTGCTACCAAAGAATAATCTTCTATATCATATACTTTTACATGCCTAAATTAATTTTTAGTTTTATTTTATATGTAAAGCTTGAAATTATTACCATAATGTATATAATTTATATATTGTATAAAAATGTATTATTGTATTATATTTTATTCAACTTTTATGTTATATATAAATTATAATATGGTGCAAAGCATAATACCAACATATTTTGAAGAAAAAAAAAAGTAAAAATAAGCAACATAAAAAAACAAATAAGTTGTTATTAACAACAAAAACAAAAAAATATTTAGTGCTCTGGGGTTTCATTTTTTTTTTTCCAATATAATATAATTATAGAGAAGACAAAAAAAAAAAAAGAAACATTGTAAAATATTGTAAAAGCACCTGTCTAGAGATCCAGATAATAGGCGAGTGTAATCCCCATTGAAACAGAGTGAAGTTATTGTTTTTTGATGGTTTGAGAACTGGTGATAAAGTTTTCCACCAGCGATTATGTCCCAAACGTTTATATAATTCCCACCTATACAATAAAACAATATCAACTTGTTTGTAAATACTCAAATGTGATTACAGTGTTAAAACTGTTATTACAGTATTCTACTATTATTTAGATTGATGCATCTTTTTCGGATTAATGCTGGATTGATGGATTGGTTTAGATTCTATTTTTTTAATGTTTGTAATAATAAAAAAACTAATAAAAATTTACAGTAAAAAATTTGTTTTCTAAGCTGGGAACTGTTGAAAAAGATTTATGAACAAAATAAAAATAAACAAAAGGTTATAAGATAAAAGTAAAAAACATATATGCAAATCAGATAATAGAACATAAAGACGCACAGCTTTAACACACAAGTGGACTAAAAGAAGAAAATGGGTAAATAATATGAGAGTAATACAAGGTGAAGCACACATCAAACATTTATTGTACTATGTATCATACATCACAAATTTGAGACACAAAATTAGTGACAAATAACATGAAAAAATATTTGTGAGTGCAGTAAGCAATACTTGCATAAGAAACAAGGAGATTTTATAAAATGTGGAAGAGGTTTAAAAATGAAGATTCTTTTATTGCTTAGCTAAACAAAAAAAGTCTGAGAATGAAGACTATGCTTAGTTAAACAAAAAGAAAAACAAATTGTATACAAAGTTAAGCAATAACTATTTGGTGAGATGTTAAGTTTTGAAGAAAAGAGTAATGCAGTGTTAAACAAATGGAAAGGAAAAATAGGAATGCTGTGATGTGAAACTATGATTTATGTTCGATTGCAGAGACAGATATTTATTATTAAAATTTCAGTGTTGGAAAAATGAACAACCAAAAAAATGCAACCAAAAAGAATTTTAATAAACACGACAAATGTAAGGTCAACAATAAACAAGCAGAAAATAGTGGTAGGCTATGCGGAGCGTCTAGGAAAACAAAATCTATTACTTGCACAGTTTGTAAACAATGGGTTAACACGAGATGTAATAGTATAAGAGATGCTTATGACATTATTGGAGTGAAGGAATATTGGAGAGTACTTTTGTTGAATACAGAGAAGTCAAAAAGTAATTAAAATAAATAATGACAAAAAAAAAAAGAATGTTATGGTTTTATTATCTTGAAGAAAATTAGATCAATTAGATCAAGAAGCATCAAGAGCAAACGTTAGGTGTGCTTGGGTTATATTCAGAGAAAAACTATCTACTCATGTTCATGTTCATGCATCATAACATTCTACCAGATTGTTATGATGCATGAACATGAACATGAGCAATTAAGGTTGATGATGTCTAATACAACAACAAATGATAATTAAATGAATGTTAGTGACTCTAAAAGATGAGAAAAGACAAAGTACGAGTAAATAACATGGTATTAGGAAACCAGTAGTAAATTTTTCTATTAGTTTAACACTCATTGATTCAGATGTTTTTCTTGGAAATGGTATTAGTAAGTAAATTAGTGCAACAAAAAAATTGAGAAGGTTGGGCATTCAGTCTAAGCTCTTTAAACCTTTTAGTCCCCAGAAACACGCAAATACAAAAAAAGTTATTATCTTCAAATAATTGTTTTTTTTTTAATTATTAGGACTATAAAAAGTACCTGAGGATATGCACAGACTTCCATTTTGATGAAATATTACACACTCAATTGGAGCACCATGATTCATCTCCATAGCTACTGAAGGTGAACGTAAATCCCACATTTTAATTTTGTGATCATAGGACCCTAACAGGTTGAACATAATAAATAAAAAATGGAATTAAAAAAAAAAGACATTTATGAAAACAAATTTCAATAAAATAAAATAAAAAATAATCACCACTAATGAATATATCTGAGCTTGTTGGGTTTATACATCCAGATCTTATATAATCCTAAATATATATATTGTTTGTAAAAGTTGGTATTAACTTAATAAATATTTTACTTTCAACAACTTTCTCCTATGATTTTTCTTTTAAATGAAAAGTTTATGTACAAAATTTATTCATAAGATGATTTGATCAATGATGGTAGGTGTGCTCATTCCGTTTAAGAGGATCTGCTTAATAAATTTATAAACAAATATTTATGACTAACCCTTTTTTATCAAATCCATTAATAATGATATTTATAAACTGAATCAACTTTTTAGAAAATATGAAATAAACATTTGGATTGGGAAATTTAAATAATCTTTTAACATTTTATCTATAAATAATTTATTTAATATTTCTATCTTAAATAAGTGTTACATTTATTTGTATTTTGTGATATCGATTTTAATTTGAATGGCATAATGTGAATAGTTTTACATTAGATGACAGCCTGTACTAAGCAGACAGAAATACATAGCAACAAATACACATAATACTTTCATACCTTAATTAATGTGTAACGTAGCACATTTCATTATCCTTAAAAAAACATGTTACCTTATGGGCTTTTACAACAAAAGTTTCTTTCTCAGTGGGAAGATCCCAACAGCGAACAGTTTTATCATCAGAAGCAGAAAATACCTTCATATGTTCTCGACCAAAATGACACACATGAGTGGGTCTAAAAATTATAATATAAAACTACAAACACCATAATCAATTGAAAAACAAAAAAATCAGATAAGAATATGTAAAAAAACATACTTTGTATGACCTTTTAAATTTCTGAGAATAGCTCTACTGTTAACATCTAATACCTGATAAGGAAAATTATAGTTATAATACATTTATATACAATTTATACAATATATATATATATATATATATATATATATATATATATATATATATATATATATATATATATATATATATATATATATATATATATATATATATATGTATATATATATATATATATATATATATATATATATGTATATATATATATATATATACATATATATATATATATATATACATATACATATATATTTATACTTATATAAAAGTATAAATGCATGTTTATGTCATATTTAATTAGCCTGCTGTTGGGGGCTTTATTACATACATAGACTACCTTATAGGCTGGAGCTGCAAAGGAGTGTCGCTACATTGAAATAAAACAATAAAAAACAAAACAAACAAAAGGTCCTCAATATCGGAATTTAGGCAGCGCCCAAATACAGTTGGCGCTGTCGAAAATGGTCGAGAATATATATATATATTTTAAAACTGATACTGAATATGTACATTTGTAAACTTTATTATGAATTTAAATAAAAACGCCATTAACAATAAATAAAAAGATGCTTATTTCAAACTTCCCTTTTAAGGTGCAAGATTTTCAGGGGAAAAAAAAAACTTTGGTTTTCACTAAATCTTTATATTACATGAGATAATTTATAAATTCATTCAAATTGATACATTTTGTAAATTAAAAACCAAGATATAAAAAAAAATTGTTTGGATCATTGTTTTTGAGTGTCCATAAAGATTGATTGAATGGACCATGTTACCATAGAGGTAACCAGATTTTATTTGTTATAAATTTTCTGCAACAAATTGATTTTTTATTAGTGAAATAATATTCTAGCTACCTCTGTAGTAACATGGTCAATTTAACTGTAGTGGAGTGGGTACTAACTGTAGTGAGTTTTATTAAAAACCAAGAAGTTAACAGTTTTTGTTAAGTTTAGAAAACAAATCTGGATGCGAAGCAGTACATTTGTTTTTAGTCTTACCTTAACTTAGAAGTTACAACTTCGAAGCTAAGTGTGATTTAATGTTTTAAAATGGTTACTTTTAATCTAAGCAAACTTTTGTCTGATGATTTTTTTCAAGGCATATTTTCACAAGTGAAAATGAATTTGCATGTGCTATATTTTTGAAGTTCATATTTTTATTGGTTTATGCTGGTTACACAGTTAGTTTTAATAGTTTTAAAAATCTGGCTTTAAATTTAATAAAAGTGTGTGGAAAAATAATAAAGTTGTTTTCAACTAAACATAAACGTTTTTTGCTTAAAAATCAACAATCCAAATATCACTTGTGAATATAATATATAAAGATATTGTTCAAGTGCTAAAATAAAAGAAGTAATTAATTTCTAAAAACCAATTATGAAGTTTGAATGACAATTACATTTGATATTAGCGCTATATACCAATTTAATAAGTTAAGAAAAAACAAAAAAAAAAAAATTTTTTTTATTAACCCAACTTTTCTATCAAAAATAGGTATTTTAAAAAAAAAGGAATCATAAAAGAAATTTAATAAAAAAACTTTTCTTTGCCATCTTGCAGACACAAGATTATTTATTTAGACAATTTCTCATAACAAACAATTACAAAAATAATTACCAACTTAAAAAAAAAAAAAGCAAAACAAAAAAATATTAGCTAAAAAATAGTACACTTTAAATTTCATTATATATTAACACCACTGTTGATATTTTAATTTTTTTGTTTTTGTTTATTTTGTTAAAATGATTGATTTTATCAAAAAAATGAAAAAAACATTTATTACAAACTTTGAATGACATCTTATAAAGAGATTATTTCTTTATAATTAAATAAAAAACTTCTTTTAATATTAATTTTTCAAAATAATATTTCGAGGGAAATTATTCCTCGTTATCTAAAAAAACGTTATCAAGTATAAATGTATTTAATAATGAGGGTTAAAATTGAATCTCCCTCAACATATTGTATTGAAAAATTAATAACAGAGTTATATCTATAGAAGATGTTTTGTTATTTAATTATTACAAGTATTTATGAAGCAACTCTTGTAATGTCTTTGCTTAAATTTATAAGAAAAAATAATCAGGGTGGCCACTCAAATTTCAAAATGAAATTCCATGACTTTTCCATGACTCTTCATAAACTTTTAAGATAAATCATTAGAGTAAAATATTCCGTCATGCACGAAGCCATGTACTAAACATTCAGTACTTGCCATGCACTAAACACTAAACTTGCCATGCACTTTTGCCATTTACAACTTGGTCATTATAAAACATGCAAACCAAAAACTATTTAGTAGAAAGTTCTGAAATCATGTCTGAAAAAAAATCCTTTTCTTTTACTTTTCTATATCTTTTTCAAAAAAGACTTAGACTAGACATACTAGTACTTTTCTTTGCATCCTGAAAATATCACAAGTAGAAAAAAATAAAGGTCATTTTCAAAGGTTCCATGAGTTTTCAATGAAAATTTAGGAATTCCATGACTTTTTCTATGACAAAATAAAATTCCATGACATTTCCATGACCAGTGGCTACCACGATAATAGTTAAGAAAAATAATATTTTACAATAGTTACATTACAAAGCTTTATATAATTAACAGATTGTGCAATATAAAAAAAAAACAGAAAAACTCTTATAATTTAGAAAAAATGTTGATAAAAAAGTTATTTAAATTTCTTGTAAACAAGTTATAACACTGCATAAATTTTTTTTTTCTAAAGCCTTTATTTAACTTTTTGTTGAAGGCAAGTATATGTTATATATTTTTTAATAAATAATACTTGGAAAGCTAAATCTTGGTTTGTCACTAAAAAAGCGCTGGTAAAGTAACTAACTTGAGTTTTTTTGTTTTTGTTTGCAACAAGTAATATTTTTTATTTTTGTTTAACATTTAAAAAGTAAAAAACTATTATTTGCAAAGCCACAAGAAAAAAAAAAAAAAAAAAAAAAAAAAAAAAAAAAAAAAAAAAAAACATTTTAATTCATTCATACAATTAACAACAACAACAACAAAAACAGCAACAACAACAACAAGCTAGTTATTTTCCTTAAATCATTTTTACAATTTTATTAATAGCGATACAATTAACAACAACAACAACAAAAACAGCAACAACAACAACAAGCTAGTTATTTTCCTTAAATCATTTTTACAATTTTATTAATAGCGATACAATTAACAACAACAACAACAACAAAAACAGCAACAACAACAACAAGCTAGTTATTTTCCTTAAATCATTTTTACAATTTTATTAATAGCGATACAATTAAAAACAACAACAACAAAAACAGCAACAACAACAACAAGCTAGTTATTTTCCTTAAATCATTTTTACAATTTTATTAATAGCGATAATAACAATAAAATATAATAATAAGTATGTTTAGAATAATTACAATGAAAAAAAAAATAATAATAATAACAATAAATATTATAATGGTAGTTATAAGCATAAACAATAACAAGTTAATAATTTATTAGGATGGTGTCACTTATACAGAAATTTGATCAAAGGAGAGACACTTATTTTTAAATACAATATAAGTAATAATAAGCAAATACATTAAAACACATGGACCGTAAATACATAGATTATAGCACATAGAGCATACAAGTTCCATGAAAGATTGCAGTCAATTAACACACCAAGATATTTAATAACTCTTGAAAGATATAGCTGCTTATTAGTTTGATTTTGAATGTAAATTAATTTATGCTAAATTACAAGAAAAAAATATAATAATAAATAAATATATTTAACATTAAAAATCAAAAATAATTGAAATAAAATAGACATTTCACAATATGTACAATTACAAAACACTTCTAGATTTGTTTTTATTATTTAGTAAATTAAACATGTGTCACAGTAGTTTATTTTGTTGCCTAAAAAAGTTAGTCTATAAAAATAAAAATAAAAAAAAAATAATAATAATAATTTATGTCAAAATCAAAAGAGCTAATGTACCATTTTTATCCACAACAAGGCCTTTATATATATATATATATATATATATATATATATATATATATATATATATATATATATATATATATATATATATATATATACACACACACATATATATATGTTTGTATATATATATATATATATATATATATATGTCAAAATCAAAAGAGCTAATGTACCATTTTTATCCACAACAAGGCCTTTATATATATATATATATATATATATATATATATATATATATATATATATATATATATATATATATATATATATATATATATATATATATATATATACACACACACATATATATATGTTTGTATATATATATATATATATATATATATATATATATATATATATGTCAAAATCAAAAGAGCTAATGTACCATTTTTATCCACAACAAGGCCTTTATATATATATATATATATATATATATATATATATATATATATATATATATATATATATATATATATATATATATATATATATATATATATATATATATATATATATATATATATATATATATATACATATATATGTATGTATATATATATATATATATATATATATATATATACACACATATATATATGTATGTATATATATATATATATATATATATATATATATATATATATATATATATATATATATATATATATATATATATACACACACACACACACACACACACACACACACATACACACACACACACACACACACACACACACACACACACACACACACACACATATATAACATTTAAGACCACAAAAAAAAATTTTAATACATTTTGGACTAAAAAAACCTCACAAAAATGTACCTCACAAAAAAGTAAACCCAAGAAATCACACAAAAAACTTTTTTAAAATATGGATAATATTAAAAATATTTATTGAACTAAAAAGTATTACAGCAGCTTTATTTTTTTTTACCTGTACAGTACCACTCTCTCCTCCAGTGACCATTAACTTTCCATCTAATCTAAACCGAGCACCATAAACATTTTCTTTTGATCGAGAAGAAGTTCGTATAATTTCATTTGTATATGGAGCGAAAATTTGTACCTAATGCAATTAAAATTCGCAAATTCGTTTTTTAGTATAGTTAAGTTGAAATACATATATTTTATATAAACAAAATCAGTCTAACTAAAAAATAGTTTGTGAGAAAAGTAAGTTACATTATGAAGGGAAAAGCATCACATATAATAAATTAGAAAAGATTCAATACAAGAAGTTAGAATCTGATAAATAATTAAACCGCATCCTTAATAAAAATAAAAATAAAACAAAATTTTAATAAACCCATCAAATCACTTAAGATAATGAATAGTAATTTTTAAAAAAATTCAAATTTACATCCAACAAAGCTTCAAGCAGTCAATAAAAAAATAAAAAAAACAATCAGAGTTAAAAAGGTTGCTATCAGACTTAAAAAATCTTGCTATCAGACTTAAAAAAACTTACTGACAAATTACATAAGTCAGTAAACTGTGCAAGTCAGTAAACTGCATGAGTAAGGAAAACATATATACTTGTAATTTGATTTGATAAAAAAAAAAGGAAAGCTCAAAACAAGAACTATAACTAAAAAGAAGTTGACTAAAAGAAGTTGACAATGGAAAATCAATTGCATTCATATCAAACTAAAAAATACAAAAGAAACATTAAAATGACTAAAAGAAAAAACAACGATTTATCCATATCAACTAAACAGACTGTCTTAGGCCCTATCTTATTTTTATTTTTTATAAACAATGTAACCTTGTGTATTGATGGTGATCAAATGTAGCATCAAGCTGTTTACAGACAACAACAAGTTTTATCAAGCAGAAGATGATGGAAAAAACAGACACCTCATCAATACCTTAAAAAATTTTCGGATTGGTTAAATACGTGCATATATTCAAATATTTGACCATTCACATTTGCAAATTTTTGACCATTTGGTTGCTATATTAAGCAACATTTTTTGGTTGCTTAATAAATGCAATCAAAAATGTTTTCATCTATGCTATGGAAACAGGCCTTTCCAATTACATTCATACCTAATGAACATTGATACAGCTATTAAATCTATTCAAGATATTGGTATAATTGTGTCTTCATATACAAAGTTTTATAACGTTCACTGTTTTCTAATGTTTCACTGTTCTTTGAGAGAGGCACACTCTCCTACTTTTAAAATCTTTTATTAGTAATGATTTCCAATATTCCCAAAATTATTGATAAGAGCCTAAAAAGTTTATGTTTGACCTTTATTAGAATTTTATAACTCAGTGTGAAATACCAACCTTTTAAAAGATTAATGACGGATAGAAAAGGTTCACACATATTTTACTAGAATGTAAAAGTTGTCATTATTCTTATAAAGACTATTCCTCAGCATCTTCAATCTTGAATCTCTCGAATGCCGTAGAACAAAATTTGATCTTATAATGATAAACAAAGTTGTACACAATCTTTTCAATCTACATTTTTCTGAGTTTTTTACATTTACACCTTATCACTACTCTACAAGATGTCATACCCAAAAACTTACTCCATGTTATAGACTTATTTAAAACAAAACTATTTAGCATATTTAAAACAAAACTATTTGCAAACAAACTATAAAGATATGATAGATAACTAGCTACTGATGGAGATATATAGATAGAATTCTCCTTCTAATTGTTTACTCAGCAATCTTGTCTTTGTTCAAATTAAGTTTAAAGAAATCGAGGAAAGATATTTCAGCAGAACAAATTAAGTTCCAAACATACTTCAACCCTTGTGAAAGACTTTTTTAAGACTAAAAAGATTTGATTAATAGAATGGCCTTTGCAAATTCCTGACCTGACTATCTTTTATGAAAACTTAATAAACAACTATTTACTTAATAAACTACTGTAACTTAATTAACAACTATATTTACCATTATATGAACATAAAAGTCTGCTAAATTTAAAGACTGTGCATAATTCTTGAAGAAAAATCAAATCTTCATTGAAAACATAATAACACAGCTAAATGAGCTTGATATATTTAAACTGATGCGCATTAACAATTTCTAATTAACTTCAGTAATAGTTCAATAGACTTTATTTATATGTTTATGTTTGACAAAGATAACAATCAATTTTATAACAAACAACTTTGGACAAATTTTTATATAAAACGTACCAAAATTTAAACAACTATGATTATAATTTAAAACTTTTTAAAAAACCTTGAAAATCTTAAATAAAAAACCTTGGCAGAACTTGTCACCAGGCAGTTATAAGGTTCAACAGGAGAAAAATGAACACAATTGATGGCTGAATATTCTTTAACAATAACAGGAAACTAGGAAAAAATATATATATAAAAAATAAATTAAATAAAAAATAATAAATAAATAAAAAAATAAATATAATAATAATTAAAATAACAGAAAAAAAAAGCTGTAGTCAATAAGGCAAGTTGCAAAAATATTAAATATAGCAAGTTAAACATATGGCTTCTTTAACTAAAGATTTTGATGAGATTTTTGATGAGATAGAAATCAACACTCCAAAATAAAACATTTAAAAATATTTTTATTTATCACACCAAGTTTTAGTGTTTCTTGAGCATAGATTTTCTGATTTTAATTTCCTTCACACAAAGTATGCATCTGTGCCAACTTATATTAGTTGATGAGTTTGGTACCGTTGGTCTAAATAAACTTGATTACCTCTAATATTTAAATAAACAGTTTTTTGAAATCTATGCACAGCAAAGAAAACTTGACATAGCAAATAAATATTTTTTAAATCCTAAAAAACACCTAGTGGAATCAGTCTAAAGGTACAAATTTTGGAAATTTTATCTGTACATTGTAATCATATTGAATTTGACTGGGTTAAAGACCTTAGAGGTTGAGAGGTTGAGAGAGGAAGAACAACTTGCATGAATGATAATGCCCAAACTAACGCTGAGTACGACATCGTAAAATTAATTTTTAATTGACTTTTGCTAAAACTGAAACCATAATTAAGAAAGATCTATTGTATACATATTTGTATAAAGAAGAATGTTTTTACAACTGATTTTGTTTTTAAACTAGTACTTGGCGTTTAAAAAAATCTTTTCTTGCTAACATTCAATCAGCATTCAAATTTACTGCTGCACTTGCAACAATTTAAGTTAGCAGTAAGCAAATGTTTTCAAAAAACTCATTTAATTTATAAAATATTGGTATAAAAATGCTTTAAAATTAAAATTGGATATTTAAAGTTGACAAATTTCTTAAAATCTATTTTAATTATTCAAAAGATTTTCTCTACTTAAATTCAATTAAAAATTAGGAATAATTCCTACAAGAACTTCAACTTGTTTCAACGAAAAGCCAAGAGGTTTAAGTAATTTGAGAGTCATGAATTTTCTAGGAGCTGAAATTGGGATGTAAAAAAAATCAACTTGCCTAGTTGTTACTGATGGTAGGAATAATTTTTTGATATACAGTTTGGAAAATAATTTTTTACTATAGACAAATAAAAAAAACAAACATTAAAAACTTTAAAAATTATAAATTATTTTAAATAAAATAATTAAAACTAAATGTTAATAGTTAAAAAAAAAAATACAAATACAAAAGAAGATAAATATATACCTGAAATAATTTCCATTGTTTATTTTCTTTTGAATCTGTTCTAAGTTCTGTTTTAGGAAATTGTTTTCTTGGAAGCTTTTGAAAATCTGTAGCCATTTTAAAAAAACTGTTGTTTTAATATGAATATATTTAACTAAAAGATATATAAAATATAAATAGTAAATAAAACCAGCATAAAAGAAATCTAATGTATGAATAAATAATGGTACACAGACTGATAAAAAAAAAATTATGGAGCTTAAAAAAAGAATAAAACGTAAATAACAAACCTTTCTTATAATGATGATGGAAAAAAAATCTGTTTTATAATAAATTATTATACAAGTTTATAGAAAAATATGAATCGATTTTAGATCATTACTTTTTCCAGTGTAAATTTTAATATAAAAATTTTGTACACATATATATCTAAGATAAAGCTACATACATACGTAAATGTAAAATGAAATCCAAGCAGAGACTTTTAAAGTAAAAATTTTTCTCAAAATCTCAAATGGTTTTAAATAAGCAATGATTATTTTTGAAAAAATATTTTCATTTTTTTCTGATATTAAAAATGAAACAGCTAAAACAGTTCACGCTTTTATATTTTTTAAATTCCATTTGAAAACTTTACATTTTATACTTTATTTATAAAATATATAACATAAATTCTATGCTAAAAAAAATTTCCAAACTTATATACTAACATAATGTATATAAGTAATAAGGTTTAGAAAAATGATAAAAATATAATAGAAGCATAAAAGAAAAGTAATTAATAACTAAAAATTTAAAAGATAAAGAATACGCAAAGGTTGAAAAATTAAAATGCATTCACAAGTGTGTTTCAAATTTATAACATAAATATCATTTTTATAATGGAACAACAAAAAAATACTACCATTGTTTTTATAAATATTATTAAACTCAGAAAAGTATTCTTTAATTCTATATTACTATAAATTAAATGTAAATAATGAAAATAAATATAAAAATAAATACAAATATTTCAAGCATCAAAACATTGTTGATGTTGCTAAGCAACAAAAAGCTTATTTGACATGTATAGCTTAACATCTTTTAGTTTGCTTTTTCTAAAGACAAACTAATTTATAACTGATGTTTGGTGACTTAGTATAGGACTTCCTAATGCTTCGAAGCTACCTAAGTTACTCTAAAAAAAAAATATATATATATACATATATATGTATATGTAAATTTAAATGAAGTTAAACTAAATAAAAAAAGTACGAAAAAAAACATACATCAATATCTTCTTCCTTTATTCTTGCACTCATAGGCAGTAGCATAAATCTAGGCGGATTCTCTACCATCTTAACTACATTATGTTGTTCCTGGGATGTTGACACCTGACTAATGTGTTTTTCAAAAGATGAAATCGATCCATAAACAAGCTTAACAAATATACAAAAAAAAAATATTGCTAAATTTATTTATTGCAACTTACACCTTCCAATATAAAGGTGACAAAATCTAAAACCATTACTTTTTTAAATTAAAGCAATACAAATCTAAAACATTTTTTATTAAAGCAATTTATTAAAGTTAAATTTATTTAAATTTATTAAAGTTATAAATGTTATTTAATTTATAAGTATATATTACTTTGCTACAATTGTTATATTAAATATTATTTTATGCAAGGTGTCCCAAAATAAACAAAACCCATAAAATTTCCAATAATTATGCTGATGTTACCCCTGTTGTTTTTATTTTTCAGATTTCAGAAATCAATAATGAATAACAATCATTAGTTTGAAACCACATGGCTTAAAAGTTAGAAATTTTTTTTTTGCATCACAACATAAATAGAGACAAAATCCTACAAGGCTATTCAAACGCACTATCTCAGAGTGTTTAATTTCAACACTCATCCTGGAAAATCTCACTTATCCTGTTGGTATCATAACTTTCAAACTTATGGAACGGTAAATAAAAAAGCACCAAGAAATCAGTGAATCCATCTTGCGGACCATCTTGTGAAATCAAGAAATCAGCGAATCCATCTAGTGGAAGGAAATTAAATTATAAAGGCAAAATAAGAAGACATGATCAAATGTACAATTGGTCATGAATGACCATATACAAATGGAATGGTGGTCATTTGGAGCACGTGTCTAAATAAACTTTAAAATTAAGCTAAAGACCCAAAACTTTCAATATTCATTTCTTATTATATGGGCTCTCAGAAAATGTTAAAATATTTAATGTATTCAGTTTTAATAATAAATCTTAATCAAGTTAATAGGTTTCTTTTACTTTGGGACACCCTATATTATAAAAAAAAAAAAAAAAAAAAATATTCAACTTAATTAAAATAAATTTGAATATTAAAATTAATAAATAATATTCCATAATTGTTTAAAACTATATTTAAACAAATGTTAAAACTGTAATACCATTGATTTCTGCAAATATTTTTGAATATTAAGTTCAATATGGGGAGTAAAAACATCCAAGTCAAATGGATCAACATGTTGTTCGAGACTCTTTACTAATTTATTTGCACTGGTACGTAACTGTGTTAACTCTGGATTCTCCTATTAATTAAAACTAAATTTATAATTATGACCATCGTTTTTTATACATTGTAAATGCAATATTGCAATATCTTGTGAATGCAACATTTCAAACAATGTTAAAAAATGCCTTGTTGAAAATTGATTCTGAAATTGTTTCTTTAAAAAGATTGCCATTAAAAAGGAAAATAATTGTATGAAAACTACCTGAATTTTATACTCATTAATAAACAGCTTGTTAATAAACTTAATATCAAATAAAATTTGCAACATTCTGTATTGGAAAACACTGTCAGTTAGTCTTGAGAGAAATAACTCATGACTGCTAATAATAGAAGCTGCAATACCAAGTCTTAACTTCTGTAGTGAGACACTGAAATAAAATGACATCTGGTTTAAATAAGAAAACAATAAACATAAAAAAAAAAAGTGTCTACCTATCAAGCAGATTTCCACCTATTCTATGGAATTCTTCAGCAATTCGAAAAAGCAATGATGACAGATAAAATGAAAGCTAAAAAAAAAAAAAATTTGCTTTTTTATATATTTTTTCAAACTTTAGTTTTATTTGTTTGGTTTATTTTTTTCAAATAATTTAACTTCATCTATGTAAAAGGATTTGCTGTGTTTTTTGAATACAAACTACAGCAAAAAGAAAAACACATTTGTAAACAAAACACATTGGTACTTTTTTTGATATTAAGTATTTGTAATTCAATCACTACACTTCACATGTGTGAAATAAGGTCTGTGATTTTTTTCTGACCTCAAACACTTTAAGGTCCACATTGCCAAATGCCAATTATAAATCCAAAGGTATATACATATATGTGTTTACACACAAATATACAAATAAATATGATAAAATTAAAACTTCAAATAAAAACCAAAGCTAAAGCAACTTTGATAAATTTTTATAATCTACACCTATAAATTTGATCATTATTATTAACAAACCAAGACCTATTTTGGTAGCGCTGTAGCGGTATGGGTGCCACAAAAAAAAAAATATTTATTATTTGTTTTTTTTTTGTTGCTTTTTTAAATAATAACAGGAAAAAAAATTTTGGTTTAAAATACAGTATTAAAATAACTAATTTTCTGTTTATTTTACCGAGACCATCTTTCCTTTAGAACAATAAAGTGAATTAAAAATTATTTACCTGATATAACTTGTTTAACTTTTAAAACTGTTATTTGGTTACTGAATATTGGACATAAAAATGAATTAAAACTTATTACAAAATTTAAAGCAATGGAATGTATGAAAATTCTTTTTTTTTTTTTTTGAAAGACTTTTAAAAATATTATTTCAGTACATTGTTAACTTTCAGAGCAAAACTTTTGGTTTTTGACAATTAAGAGTTAACTGTCTTTAATATGTATCAAACAAGTAAAATTGCAGTCATCAATACAAGTAATCGTGCAACAATACATCGATCATGCAAATTTAATTTTTGAACAAACTTTTAATCTTTAAATCGCTCTTTCATTTTACTTTACTTGACGAAAACAAAAAAAAACAAACAACTTTTTCAGAAAATTTTATTGAATGTTCAAAAAAATTCATATTAAATGTAACTTTAATGTATCCAATATTATAATATTAACATTATAATATAATTATATTATAATATTATTTAATATTTATAACTTATTAAAAATATTAAATAATATTTTTAATAAATTATTTAATAATAAGATTACTTTTTTATTTTAATTATATATATATTTATGCTTTTAATCATTAGGTTTACTGACATTATCTCTTATTTAAAAGGTGCCTTAAAGCACTGTGAAAATTATCAACCTGTGAAATGACTGTGAAAATTATCATCCTGTGAAATGACTGTGAAATTTATCAACCTGTGAAATGACTGTGAAAATTATCAACCTGTGAACATTTTGAATAAACAACAATTTTTTTTCCTGCTTTGTACATCAGTTTTATATAACGACTTATATCATTGTTATATTACCCACAACTAATTTTTTAACCACTCATTTGGCTTAAAATTATCTGATTTTATTACAATATTTAGTTAGTCTTATTGCAATATTTATTAATATATTATTTATCTCCTGATTTTTATATTATTATTGTTTACGGAAAACTTTTGTCTTATATTATCTTGCATTTATTGCTCAGCTTTGTTTTAATTTTTACATGCACAATTTTCATCTTTATTATTATTAAGAGAATATTTTTATATCCTTTATTAAATGTTTACATATATGCCGCTTACATTTTTAAGGTTTTTTTGCAACGTTCTTTTCCGCTATCATATATTATTCATTTACTGTTATGATTTTGGGTTTTGCTGGTTGCTACACTTTTGATTGGTTATCATATTTCGAATGAGGTATCTATGACAGCGTTAGAGTTTATGTAAGGCTATTGTTGTTTTGTTAATTAAATTTTTTTTTTAATGAGGTATACTGCTTTCTGATTATCTTGGGCTTGTTTATGCTAATAATACCTCTTTGGTTTTATTTCTTAAAATAAATTTATTAATATTTTTATGTTTCTATTAGAATTTAAACTTATTTTGTTTTCATGTTTTCTTTTGGTGGTATGGTAAGTGTTTTATTTAGTTATTTTTATTTTTGTTTGTTCAGTAAATTTAGGGGTTGGTTGGGTTTTGGCTATTTGTAGTGAGTCCTTTTTTACTGCAGTATGGAATAGGCGTAAGTCGCGGGGTAAAGCATAAGTGGCGTTTGTCTGACGGGATAAACTACTTATAAATGCTGATCCTCATCGAAACGCCAGTAATAATAGACGCAACTCTGAGGAGATATTTATTACTTAATCACTACACAAATTATATTTACACATTAGCATTAATGTTTTTTTTCCATTTTAAGGCCTTTCATTGTTTGCATACTTTTTATTTTGTGATCGGTTTTTTGTTTTATAAGTTTTTTGTCTGGTGATGTATTTGTTGTACATCTTCGTTCATATTGGTGTTTATAAAACAATTTTTTTAATTTTTTATTGTTGTTGAGAATAATGTTTTGGGTGTATAGTCTGTCTTATTTATTTTTAAATAATATTATCTCTATTAATCTTTATTTTTGTCTTGACAACTGTCAAAATATGCTTTGTCTAATAAATAATTCTCCTTTATTTTAATGTACTTCATTTCTTCCCTTAGGCATTCACTGCTCGTGTGTGACCATTTGGCAAAATTTATATGCCAAAGTTTTTAAATAAAATTATGTGAAACTGTGAAAAAGTAAAAGTTAAATAGAATTGCTAATATTTAAATCGAAATAAAAATTAAAATAGTAAACATGTTTATTAATCACTTATGTTTTGAATACAAATACTTGTTGTCAAAATAGATATTTCTCAAAAATGTTATGTTTTGATGTTATGTTTGTTATGTTAATTATATTTGTTATATTTGTAATGTTTTAAGTGACAATTTTAAAAGTTGTCAAAGAAGATAAATAATTTTCTTAATGGAGACTAAATGGATGAATTTTAAACATTTTTTTTAAACATTTGCATATATTTGTGGGGAGCAGTACTTATGTAAGTCACTTATATAAATCTTTAAACAAATAACAATTACCTGAGCTGGTACTTTGACATTTGATTTTAGAATGGCACCAGATTCACCTTCTTCTTCAATTACAATTTCTTCCCAATTAGTTGTAGAGAGTAAACTATGGTTTTCTTCAGAGTCAAGTGTTTCTTTAATTAAGATTGAGCACAATCTGTGTATCCATTTGATCCAGATTTCAAAACAAATCATGGCTTGGTCTTTAAATTTAGTTTCAACTAGTTTAAAGGCAGCTGAGTGGGAAGAAGCAGTTTTTGATTTTTTTCTTTCTGCATCAAACTCAACAATATTTTCTAAATTTTGACATAGATCAGGGAGTGCCAGACAAAAACGACCAAGATAAACTATCCTTTAAAAAAAAAAGTATACCGCACTTATAAAGAGTAGCAGCAATTAAGAAAGGATTTAAAACACCTTTAAAAAAAGATCAACCTCCCTGAATAAATAAATTCAAAAAACACATTTAAATCAATATTACTGGATAGAAATTATTATCTAAGAAAAACAAAATAAATATCTAAGAAAAACAAAATAAATATCTAAGAAAAACAAAATAAATTTCTAAGAAAAATAAAAAAATTATCTAAGAAATATAAAAAATCTAAAAATCTGTAAAAAAAAAAAAAAAAATTTACTTGTCTATTATTAATGTGGTTGACTTTAAAGATTCGTCAACTAATTTATTCGCAAAAACATTTAACTCATTTTTTACATAAGTACATAAACACTCAACATGGTTCAGTAAACGTTCTTGCATAACTTTAAGAAGATGTTTTGAATTAGCATATTTATCAAACGGACTAAAACTACATACAACCTAAAAAAAAAAAAAAAAAAAAAAAAAATCAAATAACAAATTAAAAACATCAATTATTGTAAATCATAATAATGATTCTCTAAATCATCATTAATAACTTTTAAAAGATTGAAAGTTTATTTTCTGCAATTTTTAAATTCTGAAATGTATGATAACACAAAATTAGTGAAAATCCTTCTTCTCTTGCTCTGTTGGTTGATGAACTTTCATATCTTATGCTTGATAGAATTGGATTAGAAAAACAAAGGATAAAAGATTGCCCCCGAGTATTGATTTTCTGAATCTGTTTTTAAAAATTTTTAGAACTATGCCAAACCTTTAGTTATAGTAAATGATCATTCAGAAAGATCTGCTGGAATGATGCAGCAATTTATTCACCAATAAAACAATGAGAAAGATAAACAGAATACATTATTAACTGTTGAAAAAGTTGGGTGTGCTTTTAGAACACCTGGAAGACATTCAAACTTTCTAAAAGTAAATTTATTGAAAGCTTGTCTCCTCTTGATAAAAAGAAAAGTGGTGTAAATGAACATGAACGTAACTGAAATTATTTGAACTTGAAATTTAATATATTTATCAAATATCATAATATTTTCAATTCAAAATACAAAAATAAAAATATTTTTTGAAAAAACTATTATACTATGTATTTTTATTCAAATATATAGGTAAAAATAAACAACGCGGAAAAAAAAAATTCAAATTTTTGTAAATAAACTTCCCCCCTGGATCTGTGAATTCAGCATTTTTTGAAGGTTTCTAAGAATTTTTTTTCTAAAAAAAGCTTAGGGGGTAATGATTGAGTGGTCCTGTTGAGCTTAAATTATTTGAGAGTTGTTTTTTTAATATTTGCCCCAAATCTAGAGTGTATTGTATTTTAGATTTGAATATATATATATATATATATATATATATATATATATATATATATATATATATATATATATATATATATATATATATTATATATATATATATATATATATATATACTAGATGTCTAACTTGCTGTATTTTATTGGATAAACAGTAAATAGGAACCTTTTTTTTGTTTACAAATTTGTAATAAGAGCAAAAGCTATAATCGATGTAAAAAATGAAAATTAAAAATACATGTTGAGAGCATCTTAAGCACCCAAAAAAATAAATATCATTCAAAAATTCGTTTTAATAATTACTTATGTTGTTTTCAAGAGCCTATGTTCATTAAAAAATATCATAATTCATAGAAATGCTCCAAAAGCATTCAATTAGAATTTTTTATATAAAACTTTAATCCCTATTTAATTAAAGAGGAATTAAAAAAATTGTGATTTTTTAACTTTTCAATTTTCTCTTACACTTTTAAATAAATAGAATTCATATTCACAACATGTTTACTTAATTTCTAAGAAAAGAAATGTTCTAAAACATAAAGCAATATATAACCTTATAAAGCCTGAAAAAAGTCAAGATAAAATTTTAACCAAAAGCAAAATGTTGTTAAAATTGCTAAAAACCTTTCAAAAAGTTAATAAAGTTTGAAATTTCTAAAAAAAAACATTAAAAAGGGTTTGTTATAACCATAAACACAGTCACTTACAAAATCCTACAAAAGTATTAATGTGTTTTTGTAAACTTTATTAAACATTTTTACTAACTTAAAAAAAAATTAATAGAGAAATAAAGTTTTATTCTGTTAAAAACTTGTTGTTTCTTTTTAAATAAAATTAACCTCAACTTGTTTGCTAATATTGAGAAAAGTAGTCCAGGTATTACTTGAGAAACGCTTAGGTATTTGTAATTTTTATGTATTTAGACATAAAAAATTACAAATCATTTATGTTTATATGATTTTTATGTTTATATATGACCAATCATTTATGTTTATATGAATTTTTTTTGGATTATTGCTTTTTTTGTTGTTGAAGTTTAAAATTGTTTTCAGATAGACTTTTTTTTGTTTTTTTGTTTTTTACAAAATATTTTAATTTTAAAAAAAAACACTCCTTTGGAAAAATAATTTGTTGTTAACCTTATCTAACATTGTCTTAATCTTGTTGTTTTCAATGGTTTGATCAAATATCAACCACTGTTGATATCTGATCAGGACTGTGAGATCTCAGCAGTAAAGAAAAAAGAAAATAAAATGTATATTTTAGGTTAAATATAAAAAAATCTTAAAGTTAATAAAACAACTGTAAATAAAATAAATAAAGCAACTTTAAACAGATAAAATTTCAATTTTTTTTTTTTACATCTTCACTTCCAAAAAGGCTGCAAGCAACCAGTATAAAAGTTAAAAGTTACTGGAAGAGAAAAGATGAAGTTTGTAGAGCAAGATAATGATTGACAGACGACTTTAAAGATCGCAAATTATATAAACCGCTTGATAAAGTGAGATAAAGGAAGTGAATTCCAAAGAACTGATGTTCTAGGAAAAATAAAGAGAAATAAGAATTTATGGAGCACTTAGAAACAGTCACAGAAAAAGGATGAGACTTAATTGAATAATGAGTAACAGGAGAATGAACTTTAGTAGATGGCACAAGAGAGTGCCAATTATACAGAGCAGTGCCAATTATACTATTTGTAGAAAAAAGAAAGAGAAGTAACATTATGACAATATGATAGTGGTTGGAGGTTGGCTGCAAGAACAGGTCAAACTATGTTTACAATGCGTTTTTGCACCTTGTCTAAAAGAGAAAGGATATCATTAGAAGATTCACTCCAGATATGGCAACAGTATTTCATACAAGGATAGATTTATAGAGATAAAGAATAGAATCAGGAGTAAGAAAGAGTCGAGCTCAATAAAGATATGCAACCTTAGCAGACACTAATTTTGCAACGGATTTGATATATGGTTTCCAAAATCCTTTTTAAACTCAAAAGCCCCCTCCAAGCAATCAGAGAGAGAGTTGGTTTCTTATCATGACAATAATAAATGGTAGTATCATGAGCTAACAATGCCACCTTAAATGTGAGAATATCTGAAAGATTATTAATATAAATTAAAAAGTGTATAGGGCCAAGGATTAAACCTTGAGGAACCCCTGAAGTTACAGGATATTATGACTAAATTAATCAACATACATAATTACTAATTTTACATTTAAGAGATAACTTGTGCAATTAAAGATATGCAAAATTTTTAGTTCTTATTAATTATGATCAAAAAAATTAAAAAATCCTGCCATTTTTTTAGCAACCTTTTCTAGGAGGGCACAGTCCTAGCCTATTACTCCAGTCTCTTATATTCCTTAGAAAAAGATTTATAAAATAAATAATGAAAGTCACTTTTCTAAAGATTTGCTACCATTATAAAAAGGTTTTTTTGGTCTCTTCTTCTCTTCATTTGAAAACCATGCTTATTAGAAAAACAAATGTTTTTAAATAAAATATAATACATAAAATATTTTATTTATGCTGATAAGTCTTTTATTTATGTATTATGTATTATTTATTATGTATTATATATTATTTATGTATTATGTATTATGTATTTATGTATTATGTATTATGATAAGTCTTTTATTTATGTTTATATAAGTATTTTATTTATGCTGATAAATTTTATTTATACTGATGAGATAATTTTATTATGCTGATAAGTCAACAATAATTTTTATGTTAGTAACGAATTTCATGTAACTAACAAATTGTTAGTGATGAAAAATAAAAAAATAAAAAAATACCTCTTGCTTTGCCGTATTTTGAGATGATCCCTCAATGAGAAAGCAAATATCTTGCAATATATTCAGCAATGAATCATCAAAATTTGAGCAAATGCTTTAACAAACAAAAATAAATCTATATATGTATATGATTTTTGTTTATAGAAAATTTTCAAGAAAAAGGTTGCTGCCGCATGCAAAATTCTCAGCTGATGTAGCGACACTCCTTTGCAGCAGCAGGTTATAAATTAGTCAATGCATACACTGAAGCCCCCAGCAGCAGGCTTCTTCAGTGTGACATCACAGTGCTTATCTAAACACGCATATATATATATATATACATATATATATATATATATATATATATATATGCGTGTATATATATACATATATACATACATTTACATATACACATACATTTACATATATATATATATATACATATATATATATATATATATATATATATATATATATATATATATATATATATATATATATATATATTATATATAAATGTATAAATATACACACATACTATATAATTGTTATTGCTGCAATAACAATTAGCTAAAAAGAATTGAGTTTAATCTGAGTTAAAGTTCACCAGCCACTGAAAGCCTTATTCTGTAGCAGAAGTGAGATCCTTATCAAGCTCAAATGACCCCTCCAAGCAATTAAAGAGTTTTGGCTCCTTATCAAGAGACAAACAATTTGTAGTATGATCAGCAAACAATGCGATCTTAGATGTGAGAATTTAAGAAAACCTTCAATTAAGTTAAAAAAAGTATAGGGCTAAAGATAGAACCTTGAGGAACCCCTGAAGTTACAGGAAATGAAGAAGAGTTGCTGTCCATTGAGGCCAACTTTTATAGTAAGATTGATAAGGAAGGATTCAATAATCTCAAAGACGTTACCTGATACACTGTAAGAAAAGAACTTATGGAGAAGAGCAACATGTCAAACTTTATCAAAGGCTATGGAAACATTGAGAGCAATAGCCCTAATCACTTCACATCTATTTAATGCACAATAAAACTTATTAGTTATTACTGTTACCAAATTAGCACCTTTTTACAATGGTTTCTAAAAATTCTGTATTCTAATGAATTGTTTTAGCGTTAGATATTGAAGTAATGGTTACAAATGAAAATTGCAGCAGCAAATTGAGAGGAAGAGTAAGACTTGACTTAGAATCACTGAGAGCGAATAAAAAACTCCATGCCAGCCTGAATCCAAGAAGTTACATAAGAAGCACATTTGTCATCAAGAAGATGAGAGATTTCTACCCAAGGACCATTGCAAAGAAAATCACGGAAAGAGTCCTAATCAGCTTTATGGTAGTTGTAAGAGATACGATGATAAAAGGATTCTGATGATGAAAAATAATGAGATTAAAGTTTTCAAGAGATCAGGCCATTTACTATAATAATAATTTACTATAATATAAATTTACGACTATTTACGTTAAAGATTGAGAAAGGCAAAAATTGTGACTTTAATTCTTATCACTCAACGCCTGCAGAGTGATGAGGCTTAAAGTCAGCAACAACAACGATATTGGCTGAAGGATAAAGAGAAAGGGCTTGGTCAATTTGATCATAAATAACATTGAAATGAGTGCAGTCTTGAGATGAAGGAGAGCAATATATAACAAATAGAAAGGTGATTGTGGTGAGAGATATGGTGCTAAACAAAAGCATATAAAAGAATCAAACCTAGTTTCCGGACAAATGGGTAAATTCTTACAAATGTAAATGCCCAGGCCAAGCATGTGACCATTAGAGTTTTTATGAACTAAGGGAAGATAACCATCAATTCTAAAATTGCAAAAAAAGACAGCTGAACTCAAATTAGTCTCACAAAGAGCAAGTAGGTTTTGTGAATTTTGCAAAAGATAAGACTCAACAGAAAAAAAGTTACCTTGAAGACCACAAATATTAGTGAATAATAGATTTAGAGAATTTTGGTGATAAAGGTGGTTTTTTGTGTTTTATAGTTTTTGATACTTGAGTCATTTTTTAAATTGGTTAAAGAACTTGACTCAAAGCACAGATAGTACTCAGTTCACTATCCGACACCATGCCTCACTACTATTAATAAACACTAAGCCATAATAATTGGCTCAAAATGTGGCCTCAACAATGCCACTCTGTTGTGTGTATATATATATATATATATATATATATATATATATATATATATATATATATATATATATATATATATATATTGACTTTTTTGTCTGATAAAATGTTTTAACAACCATGTGTAATAGAAATTAATTTTCATTATAACTTTTTTTTAATTTTATCCATTGTTTTTATTTTAACGTTAGTTATTTAAATATTGCAATTTTCGAGTTCATTTTTACCTCCCAAAAAAAAAAAAAAAAAAAAAAAAAAAAAGTTTTATTTCAATGTTGCTTAAAAATAGATACCACACAATAAAATCACTCCCCAAATTGTTTTTTTTTTTAAATTTAAAACTTTTTTAAAAGTATGACGTACCCTAATATACATACATACATACATACATACATACATATATACATATATATATATATATATATATATATATATATATATATATATATATATATATATATATATATATATATATATATATATATATATATATATATATATATATATATATATATACACAGACACACACATATATACATACACACAGACACACACATATATACATACATACATACATGCTGGGTTATGAGATTGGCATTTTTTAATTATGTTCCACTTAATTATCTGCATGTTACCTGCGTCTTTACGTTTCCAAATTACCTTGGAAAGTTCTGTATTGTTTCTACCTAGTTGCATTAAATGATTTAAAGTGGTTTGCAAATCTGAGCTTGAATGTGTTTTCACTAATACCAATTTAGGATTTTTCTGTAGGAATAGGGATAAGGTGATGCTAAAGTGGCTTTATATACAACATTTTTTGATAGAAATTAGTTATTTAATGGGCAACTGTTTTTTTTAAAGCAGTTGCAATTTACATCATTAGTGGTGAGTTTGCTGTGCAAAACTTGTTGGCTGTGTGAATTAATAATTGATCGAATCTTTGGCATACAGCTGTAACTAATTTTTATTGTGTTTCTGTTGAAAATTTTGTGGAGCTTATGATGTAATGGAAAATACAAGTCAATTAAGTTTAAGAAAAGGTGTCCAATTTTTTTTACTACATTTTTACTGAAAGGAGGATTAAACCATATAATATTTCTTTTTCATTTATTAGTATTAGAAGGATTTAGATTTGTGTGTATATATATATATATATATATATATATATATATATATATATATATATATATATATATATATATATTATATATATATATATATGAATTGATTCTGTCAATTAGCAAATATCGGATTATGTATAATTGACGTTAGATACCATTGCAACACTAAATTTGTATTTTTTATAACGGTTCTTATTTTATATTTGAATAATATGGCTGATGATTGCCGATTGACATGAAACTTTAAGTTCCAATTATAAAGTTATATTTTTTCATTTAAATTATTATAAAACATATATATATATATATATATATATATATATATATATATATATATATATATATATATATATATATATATATATATATATATATATATATATAAGGGGCTATTCTAGAGTGTTTTCGACAGCCTCGACCGTATTTAGGAGCCACCCAAATTAAAATTTAAGGAATTTTTTTTTTTAAGGTTTTTACGGCAACTACTATTTTTTTTGAAAAAAAAAACCCCCGGAATTTCTACTGATGTCCACCGAAACATTTTTTTCTAGAATAGGCCATATATATATATATATATATATATATATATATATATATATATATATATATATATATATATATATATATATATATATATATAATATAATAATATACAATACTGTTGAGATTTAACGCCATGTTAAATCTTTTACAGACATAACAAGAAAGTCAAAGATAGTCAATTAAGTCTAGTTTAGCTTTAAATAAGTTGAGATTTTTAACTTCCACTGTTTCAATTGGTAAATTGTTCCAGAACTTGCATACAGAACTTGGCATGGAACTTTTTATTCGCTCTCAGTGATTCTAAGTCAAGCCTTACTCTTCCTTTCAATTTGCTGCTGCAATTTTCATTTGTAACCATTACTTCAATATCTAACGCTAAAACAATTCATTAGAATACAGAATTTTTAGAAACCATTGTAAAAAGGTGCTAATTTGGTAACAGTAATAACTAGCGATTTGTAAAAAAAACCTTTAAGATTTTGATTTAAATATTTCTTATCGGTGAATAAATGATGTTTATTACCTCGAATGTTTGAACACGGACCAGAAGAATTTTAAGAGTACGAATGTTGAGAGGGTATTTTCCAAGTTATTTTCTCTATAACACCATAATACCATTTGTACATTTGTATGAGATCTCATATTCTTCGTTGTTTTAAAGATGTTAATTTCAATTTTTGTAGTCTTTCACTTTATGATAGATGATGTAGCTCAGGTACAGATTTTGCTACTCGTTTTTGAATTTTTTCTAATATATTTATATCTTTTTTAAGATAAGGACTCCATACCTATATTGCAAATTCTAAATGCGGCCGTATATAACTACAATACAACAGTTTTATTAGTTCACTATTTTTATACTTAAATGATTTGTATATTATACCAAATTTATAGTTTGCAATAGATAATGCAATTTTTATTTGTGGTTCCCATTTTAAGTCATTCGAGATTAATATGCCTAGCTCTTTTTCTAATTTAGTTGTAGTTAATTCTTGCTTTATATTATTGTCATTATTGTTATATTGTTAGTCATAAAATATTTATAATTTTTATTTTTGTTACCAATATGCATGATTTTACATTTTTCAAAATTAAATTGCAATTTCAGTTTATTACCCATTTTTCTAACATAGAAATGTCATTTTGTAAAGCATGTGCATCCGTTTCATTATTAACTTCAGCTATTACTTTACAATCATCTGCATACAACAACAATTGATTTGTAAGTTGACTTGGAAGATCATTGATGTATATTAAAAATAAAATTGGACCAAGCACAGAACCTTGTGGTACATCGCTTACTATGTCTACCTATGATGATAAATATTCTCCAAGTACAAGTCTTTGCTTCCTATCAGTTAAAAAAGAAATTATCCACTTCAGTGACGTAGATGTAATGCCATATGCTTCAAGTTTTAGTGCTAATCTCCTATGTGAAACTTTGTCAAAGGCTTTCTTGAAATCAGTATAAAGGATATCAAACGATTTACCATTTGCAACACCTGTTGTTACTATATCCATGTACTCTAGGAGTTTAGTTATGCAACTTTTGCCTTTTGTAAAACCATGCTGATTAGAAATTAATAAATTGCTAATCTTTAAATAATGTAAGAGTTGGTTAGATATTAAATGTTCTAAAGTTTTACAAAGAATTGAAGTCAAGGAAACTGGCCTATAATTTGAAACTTTATTTCTACTGCCATTTTTAAACAGAGGCAATATGTTTGCTGTCTTCCATGAAATAGGTACTACACCTTCATAAATTGATTTGTTAAATAATAAAATCAATGGATTAGAAAAAGCATTTACACATTCTTTTAATACAAAAGGATGAATCCCATCTGGTCCAACTGATTTTTTTGTGTTTATAGCATTTATCATATTAAAAACTTCAGTTGAGGTAATACAAATAAACTGAAGTGAATTTAAACACTTTTTTTCAAATTTTGGTAAAATATCATCTTTATCTCCTATAAATACTGATTGAAAATATTCATTCAAAGTATCAGCAATCTGCTTTTGGTCCGTAATGATGCACAAATTAGAACCTTCAATTGATGTTAAATAATTTTTAATTTTTTGTTTTTTGTTGATATAATTATGCAGCAGTTTTGGATCTGATTTTGCTTTTTTAGCTATGTATTTTTCGTACTCTATTGTAACTTTTTTAACTTGTTTATATACTTCTCTTTTTGCTTTATTATATTGGGATTTTTTTAAACTATCCGTCCATAAAGAAAATCTATTGATAGACCAGAGTTTATATATATATAT